AAACAAGACATTTGCAGATATACAAAGGTGGGGAGAGCTCTTACCTGCAAACCCTCCCTGAAGAACTAGGAAGGGCCATACTTCAGGAAAGAAACGGTGAACCCAGAGGGAAGGCACAGGAAGCAGTTAACAATAGTGGATACAAAAGGGATCAGATATAGCTATGAAGTGTGGCATTTAATCTTTTGCTAAAAAGTATAAAACTAAAGTTATCAACAAATAATATCATGTCAATCATAGGCAATTTAAATAACCTTAGACTTTCTTAGAAAAAATTACAAGACAATTTTCTTTAAAAATTAATGGCGTTCATAATTAGTCTAAAAGTATAGCATATAGTTTTAACATCAATGGAAGACAGTAAAAGAAAACTTCACCAACACATAACAAAGGTGGCGTCAGCAAAGGAAAGAATGAGCTATTCAGTAAATGCCAGCATGGTTGGTATTTGGGTGACCAACTCATCCCACTTGCCTGGAACTTTCTCAGTTTCAGCACTGAAAAGTCCCACGTGCCCAAAAGCCTGCAAGTCCCAGGCAAGCCAGGAAGGCTGGTCATCCCACCTGGTATCCAAATTTATCAAAATAGATTTATATTCCCACATCCCACCATACACAAAAATCAATTCCCACCTTTAAAAAAAGATCATCTTAAGACAGTGCTGAGGCAAAAAAAAAATAATAATAAAAGATCAATTCTGGACGGTTTAAAGGCCAAGAAGAAAATGCAAGATAATATCCTTTTGACCTTGGTGTTGGGAAAAATTACTTTTAAAAAGAAAAAGCTAAATCAATAAAAGGAAAAGATTTATAAATCTATCTTTATTAAAATATAAAAATGTATTTAATAAGAGAACTAAAATGTGTGTTCACATGAAGACTTGCACATGCATGTACATGATTCATAATAGCCAAAAAGCGAAAACAACTCAAATGCCTATCAACTAATGAATGGATAAAAAATGTGGTGTATTCTTACAATGGAATACTGTTTGGCCATAAAAAGGAATGAAGTATTGATACCACCAAAACATGGAATGAACTCTAAAAACATCATGCTAAGTGGAAGAAGCCAAACACAAAACACCACATATTTCATATGATTCCACTTATCTGAAGTGTCCAGAATAGGTAAATCCATAGAGCCAGAAAGCAGATCAGTGGTTGCCTAGAAATAGGGGAGATAGATTAGATGACTGCTAATGTGTACAGAGGTTTTTTTTGGTGGTGATGAAATGATCTAAAATCATGGCAAAGGTTGTACAAGTCTATAAATATACTAAAAGCCATGGAATTTTACTGTTTAAATTGGCAAATTATGTGGTGTTTTCTTAATAAAGCTATTTTTGAATATGTTTAACAAAATATACCAAAAATAAAATGAAAAGATAAAACATACTCAGAGACGGTTGTAATGCATTTAACAAAGAATTCATATCCCAAATGTATAAAGAATGTCAAAAGATGAATAGGGAAAAAAATGACCAAAAGGAAAGTAAACAAATGAAATAGGACAGAAGGGATAATCTACTTGTGCTTCCACTAACAAAGATCAGATAAAGGGAAGTTAAATGTAAACCCTTCTAAATATATAACTAGAAAAACCTATACCCTACAAAAGGAGACTACCATGTTAATCTGAGTGAGAAAAATCTAAAGTTCATGAAGAGGAGAATGGATGAATGATACAGTGTAAAACCATACAGCATTTAATTTTATATGCTGTGAAACAATCAGTTCATATGCTAGAGGAAAAAAAACAAGTTACAAAGCAATATACATCATATAACATTTATACAAAGTTAAAAAATATATTTATGAATATAGTAGCATAACTAAATGGAAATGATAAGTTAAGGATGGTGGGTTTTTTTCTAGAGTAGAGAGAGGGAGAAATAAGATGGGAAAAAACTAACAGCAAACTTCAACTGTTTTAATATTTAATTTCCTTGATATTTTCTCAACATTCCTTTTGAGATTTTCCATATTAATACACACAGTAGAGTCAATTTTCAAGAGAGGTAAATGGTAATATGTTTCCTAAGCCCTGTGTAACATCTTTCTCAAAATTCTGCTATGGGGCTTCTGCTGTTTAGACTTACAACAAAGGCATGCAGATTCTTGTTCTGTTGAAAATGAACTTGTTTTCCTTTCTAGAAGGTTGCAGAATTTTTTGCTCTTTGTCATTCAAAATTTTACCAACTGTATTTAACCCTAGGTCTTCTTTCACTGAATATTCCTAAAACATGGAGAGCAACTCTCCTGGCTTCTACTGGCATGTTCTTGTTCTTCTGTAATAACAATAGACCCAGGGAAAGAAACTTGACAGAAAAACATATTCTTCACTTTTTCTAAAGCACATTATCTCTTTAAAAAACATTCCTACTTAAAATGAGGCAGGAAATATGTCAAAACTTAAATAAATTTTGCATTATTCAATAGTTCACAGTATCCAGTTCTCTGTGGAATCATGCCAAATCCATCATTTTTTTCTTTTCGCTGTTTCATTCCCACTGTGCAGTAATGTGTTCTGCTCGCAACAGAAGCCTCGGGAGTCAGGCAGTAATAGCACTCACGCAGAGAGAGAACCACCAGGTGCCTCTCAGGTTTTCTTTCTAAAGAAACCATTATTTGCTGAAACTGTTTAGCCCTGGTGTCAAGAAAGAAACAAGTCAAAAGGATTTCTGCATTTCTAATGATTTTGCATGCCTTTAAAGAGAAATAGAACTACACACACAAAATTTACAAAGTGGATGTGCTGAAAACAGTCTAAAATACTTTTATAAAATGGAGTGATGAGTGTTAAGAAAGATATAATAAAAGGGATAGAAAAGTTAATACAGCCAGGCACAGTGGTTCATGCCTATAATCCTAGCACTTTGGGAAGAGAAGGTAGGAGAATCACTTGAGGCCTAGAGTTCGAGACCAGCCTGGGCAACATGCTGAGACTCCATTTCTACAAAAAATTTAAAAATTAGCTGGAATGGTGTCTCATGCCTGTAGTCCCAGCTACCAGGGAGGCTGAGGCAGAAGGATCACTCGAGGCCTGGAGTTCAAGGCTGTAGTGAGCTATGATCATGCCACTACATTCCAGCCTGGATGACAGAATGAGACTCTGTCCCAAGGGGGAAAAAAAGTTAATATAGTAGAAAACTCAGTCATCAATGACAAAAATCCATTTTTCAATTGATGGGATACTAATGTGTACACATGGATGCAGAATGATGGACAGTGGAGTCTCAGAGGGTAGGAGTGTGTGAGATGGGTGGGATGGGTGGTGGGTGGGTGATTGGTGGGTACAGTGTACATTGCTGTGGTGATGGATGCACTGAAGGCCCTGCCTTCACCACAGAGCACTCTATCAATGTAGCAAATTTGCATTTGTACACCATGAATATATAATTGATTAATTGATGGGATACTAAAAAAGCATTCCTGCTAAAATAAAAAACAAGACAAGGATTTCTACAATCTCAACCACTATATAACATTGTATTTTAGGTATTAGCCAATGCAGTTACACAAGAGAAAATAATTAGAGACCTAAGAGTTGGAAATGAAGAGGTAAAATTCTCCCCATTTGTAGATGAGAAATCTGGACACCCCAAGAGAATTATTGCTATAACTCATGCAAATAAAAAAGAATTCAGTAAAGAAGAAAAGTATAAAACTAACATAAAAAATGATAGTCTTTAGGACTTGTGTCTAAAATATAAATAACCTTTACATTTCAATAATGAAAGAGAAATAAACCCATTTAGCCAGGCACAGTGGCACATGCCTATAGTCCTAGCTACTCAGAGGGCTGAGGTAGAAGGATCCCTTAAGCCCAAGAGTTCAAGGCTGCAGTGAGCTATAATCATGCCACTGCACTCCAGCCTGAGCAACAGAGTGGGATCCCCATCTCTAAAAATATAACTATAAAAATAAACCAATTTAGAAATAGTCAAAAGATCCAAACAGACATCTCTCCAAAGAAGATGTACAAATAGCTAATAAATACATGAAAAGATACTCAACATCATTAGTCATTAGCAAAATTCTAATCAAAACCACAATGAGCTACCACTTCACACCAGTTAGGAGGCTAGAATCAAAATGACAACAACCACAGCTGTTGGCAAGGATATAGAGTCATTGGATCCCTCAAATATGGCTGGTGATAGTGTAAAAAGGTGCAGTTGCTTTGAAAAACAGTTTGAGAATTCCTTAAAACGTTAAAGAAAAAAGTTACCATATGACTCAGCAGTTTCACTCCTAGGCATCTACCCAAGAGAAACACAAATATATGTTCACACCTACTTTGCAAATGAATGTGCAGAGCAACATGATTCATACAGCCAAAATCTGGAAACAACCCAAATGTCTATCCACTGAAGAATGGATAAACAAAATGTGACGGGTGTATCCATACGATGGGATATTATTCAGCTGGAAAAAAGAATGAAGTACTGGTATGTGCTACATACAACATGGACTAACGGTGAAAACACGCCCAGTGAAAGGAGCCAGCTGCAAAAGATCACAGATTGTGTGACTGGGAATAGGCAGATCTGTGGAGACAGGAAGTATTCCAGTGATTGCCCAGGGCCGGTAGAGAGGAAGGATCAATGAGTGACTCCTGCCAGGTGTGGGGTTTTTTGGGGGCTGATGAAAATATTCTGAAATTAGGCATAACTTTGTAAATATACTAAAAACTGCTGAATTGTACACTTAAAACAGGTAAACTTTATGGTATATAAATGATAGCTCAATAAAGCTATTAAGAAATTAATAGCCTTCATATGTACACCCAATAACCAGTTAGAAGATGAGATGGAAACAGAAATTCCATTTACAATAACAACAAAAATACTTGGAATAAGTTTACAGAGAAATATTCAAAATCTATTAATTTATAAGGAAACAAACTCTCTAATAGTAGATTTTGATTGTTCACTTTCCTGATTTTCTCTAATACTTTTGTGTATGTGCCTATAAATGTATAATGCCTCCATTTTAACTGGAAACAAAGCCTAGCAGATGTATACTTTTTTTTGAGGTGCAGAAAATGAAATGAAAACCCAAAACATTCCTGACAATCTTACTTTTTTACTATTTCCTAATGAGTCTATATTTATAAAAAAAGTTATTATACTAAATGTAATTGAGTATAACAGTTTCTAATAATTTCTTCCTCAATTAGTATAGACCACAATATTATAGATAAATATAATTTATTTTTTTAATATCTTATCATTATACTTTTGGTTTTCTTAAGAAAACCATCAGGGCCATTTTTTTTTTTTAAGAGAAAGGCCAGGTGTGGTGGCTCACTCCTGTAATCCTAGCACTCTGGGAGGCTGAGGCGGGTGGATTGCTCAAGGTCAGGAGTTCAAAACCAGCCTGAGCAAGAGCGAGACCCCATCTCTACTATAAATAGAAAGAAATTAATTGGCCAACTAATATATATAGAAAAAATCAGCCGGGCGTGGTGGCGCATGCCTGTAGCCCCAGCTACTCGGGAGGCTGAGGCAGCAGGATCGCTTGAGCCCAGGAGATTGAGGTTGCTGTGAGCGAGGCTGATGCCATGGCACTCTAGCCCAGGCAACAGACTGAGACTCTGTCTCAAAAAAAAAAAAAAAAAAAAAAAAAAAAGAGAGAGAGAGAGAATGAAATTCTACTTGGAGATCTGAAGTTCTCTTTAAAATATTTGTAAAGAAGTCTTTTCTTGACAGAGGCAGCTCAGTCAACAAGGGAATGTCTTGTTTTTGCAGTCTCACGGTTAGAAACCAAGATCAGAGACCCACAAGAGCTTCCCATGAACTCAGAACAGATGATCTTCCAATCTGCGAAGAAAGGTAAAATCTCAAGTTTTTTTAGCTCACTAACCTAATATAAATACCACCCTTTTTCTATTCTTTGTATTATATTGTTCTCTGTTTCTTTCATTGCAATTTAGTAACATCAAATCATAATGTGGCATCACATTTTTCCCTGGCAGAACTCCTTTTAATTTGTTGTGTGATGGGGAGAGAAACCAGTTCCATTACTGTCCCTTTGCTAATCACAAATACAAATTGGTGCTTCTTGACAAAACATGTTATGTTAGTTTTTTATAATATACTTTTTAAAATAACAAAATATACATATTTGGGTTTTGGGAAAGTTTAAGATGCCCTTTTCCTCTTAACTGTAAATTTATACTAAATGGCTAAATGGTATTGTTTTTTGAATATAAGTATTTTGGGGAAAAAATACATAAGTTACTTTATGTAATGCCAATTTAAAATTATTTTCCTTCCTACATTATCCGTTGGTTTACGTTCACTTAACTATTCTTATACCTATTCTTGGTATTATGCTTTTATAATTACAGACATTAGACAAATATCCTGAAAGCATTGTCCAAATAAATTTTATTTTAAATTGCTGCTTTTTGAGGAAAAAAAAAAAACACCAGTAGTCCAAAAGGTCACTTAAATATTTTGTTCATTCTTTATCATATTTACTCTTGCCCAGCTTTTGTTAAATACAGGAAACATGTTGCAGTCTTGCACAGTGTGTGAGTTTGTTAACAGCGGCTGGCATCGTGTGCCAAGGCTTTGGAGAGCGTTGCATCTGGAAGCAGCATGTTTGTGTCTCATCCTGCCTGCACTTGTCCTGCCTGAGTGACCTTGAGCACTTTACCTTTAGTAGCCACGCTGTGCCTCACTCTCCTTAGATGTGCTGTGTGGATCACAGGAGTTGGTGGGGGCTGAGCCAGTGAAGGGTTGCTGTGAGTGTCGAATACAAGCAAAGCACTTGGAACAGAGCCTGGCAGGAGCCCCGACACATGTGGGGCTGTCTTTGTTCTCAGTTGTATTCAATTAATAATATAAATGACTCTTAATCAAACTTGATGTCTTTTGCTTCCAGTTCTATTTAGATATTAATATCATACTTGCATTTGCCCCATATATCTTGTCTGTCTACTTGTTTTTAACTTTTTTGGTAAAAATAGCATTATGTTGGATTTTGCTTTTTTGGCCTAGTTGGAGTCTCTGTTTTTAAATAGGGCATTACTATACAATTATATGGCATCAGTTATTTTGATCATCACTAATAGGATTAATCTTCCAGCAAATTCTTTGGTTGTCTTCTTATAATTCCCCTAATTATTTTCTTATTTTTTTTCTTTTGCTTAATGAACTATATGCTTTCTTTGCTTTCAGATTTTTCAGTAATATGGAATGAATATATGATCTCTCTTTTGAAAATGAAATTCTACTACTGATTACCTTTAAGTTTTTCAAAATCATTATTTAATATATATTTCTAGGGCTGGGCATGGTAGCTCACGCCTGTTAATCCTAGCACATTGGGAGACTGAGGTAGGAGGATGACTTGAGGCCAGGAGCTCTAGATTGCCCTGAGCAACATACTGAGAACTTGTCTCTACAAAAAATAAAAAATTTAGCTGGGTGTGGTGGCACACGGCTGTAGTACCAGCTATTTGGGAGGCTGAGGCAGGAGACCACTTGCAATTCAGGACTGCAGTGAACTGTGATGATGCCACTGTACTTTAGCCTGGGTGACAGAGTGAGACCCTGTCTCAAAAATAAATATATATATTTTTTCTTAAATTGGCAGGAGTAAAAGTTTAGTTTTTGAATCTATATATTTAAGAAACATAATTTAGCATACTTTAGGTTTTCCAATCTAATTAACCTTTGTAAACATAATCCAGGATTCATCTGTAGATTACTTTAAATTATTATTTTAAAAGTATACGTTTTTTCTTTCAAAAATAACTTTTCCAGAGTTATGACAGATACTTTATTTTTCTGTATATAATACTTTTTCATGATGAAGAATTCATATACTCATGATAAAAACAAAAATCAAACAATACAAAAGTTTCTCAGTAAAAACTCAATCTTCCTCTTATTCCAGACCTCATCTCAATCTCTGGATAAAATTGCCATCAACGATTTTTTGTTTTTCCTCAAAGGAATTTCCTATTCACTTACACACAGTTGTACTGAAATAGGATCCATCTATATACAGTGAATCTAATTTTGAAACTAAATTTGAAATTATTATTTAGACATCTGTGTTTGTTTTCTCTGCTGGTTATTCCTTTTATAACCCACATTTTTTGGTCTTGAACTTTTCATTTATGTTTCACTGCTGAGTCAATTGTAATCCATTTGCAAGATATGATTTCAAGAAAAGGAGTTGGAATGTATATTTTGAATCTTTGTTTATATGAGAATGTTTTTCTATAACCTTTGCATAATTACGGCAAGTTATCCGCATACCAAATTCTTACACAACCTTTACTCTTCAAAACTAAACAGAGATCTTTCTCATTTTGATGGCAAAGTAGATGATCCTAGGGTCTTCCCAGTGAAGAGCAACAAATTTCACATAAATCTAAAATGGTTTGTGCAAGTAAGAAAAATAAGAAATTACCTAAAAAACAAAACTGAATAAAAAAGTGAGCTAATCCCTGAGTAGTGACTGCTAAACACAGGAAAGAAGCCTTTTTTCTAAGGACAAAGACTGATAGCATTATTGATAGAAGCCATGAAGCAGGGTGTTGAAACTAAGCCTGGATCCCAGAACGGAGCTCAAGTGATCCTGGGCCAGTAATATTTCCTAGATCTCAGAAGAAGCAAATACCCATCCTCTCTGGAGGAAAGAAAATATCCTCAATTTTGACACCGGGTTTCCTGTAGATTAAGACCAACCAAATATGGACTCTTGGTCAAAGATTACCAAACTAAAAGGAATAACTCACCACGAATGAGTCGGTAGAAAGAACACTTAGATTTAGTGCTCAAAGGACCTCACATGTTAGAATTATCTGTAATAAAATATAAAAATAATGATCTCTAAAATGTGTAAAGAAATGAGAGATGGAATCACAAAAATAACTAAGAAGCATTCAACTATCAAAAACACCCAGCAAGACTGTGATATTGCACTATAGTTTTACAGGATGTTCCCACTGGAGAAATGGGGTAAACAGCACTTGGGATCCCTCTGTATTTCTTTTCCCCCTAATTTTCTGACTTTTTAAAATTGAGATAAAATTCACATAACACAAAATGAACCATTTTTAACCATTTTAAAGTTTACAATTCAGTGGCTTTTAGTATTTCAGGATATATCACCACAGAAAGAAATCCCATACCTGTTAGCAGTCTATGTGTTATATTACAATGACATATGAACCTACCATCATCTCAAAATAAAAAGGTTAATATAAGAAAAAGTTATGTGGAGGGTCAGGGGAGGGCTAAAAAACAAAAAAGAAAAAGTGGTAGATGCTTGTCAGAAATTAAATAATATACAAACACAGAAAGATATCCAACTTCTAAGAGATTAAACATTGCTAACACCCTTTTTTAATGACCAGAAAGATTTGAAAAAGAATAAAATAAAAATTTTAAAAATGAAACATTATTCAAATAAAAAATGGGTGATTGAAATAGAAGATTAGATGCAACTAAGGAAATAATTAGTGAACACGAAAGTATCCATAAAGACCATGTGACAAGGAGATTGAAATACAGGTTCAATATCCCTTATCCAAAATACTTGGGACTAGAGATGTTTCAGATTTTGGATTTTTTTTCAGATTTTGGAATATTTGCATTATACTTACCAGGTAAGCATCCCAAATCTGAAAATCCAAAATCCACAGTGCTCTAATGAGCACTTCCTTTGAGTGTCATGTCAGTGCTTAGAAAGTTTTGGACTTTGGAGTATTATAGATTTCAGATTTTCAGATTTGGGTTGCTCAGTCTATATAAAAATTAAGTTAAAATAAATATATGGTAGAATGATAAGATCTGACATACATCTAATCGGGGTCCCAGATTACAGGAGGAAAGACAGGAAATAATATTGGATAGTTAAGATTTTCCAGGCCTGATGAAAGACATGAATCCCCAGATATGTGCGGGTGTGGGTTTTATGAATCCTACAATATATATGAGGCAAGATAAGTGAAGTCTACATCTAGATATAATTATAGTGAAACAGCAGGATATCAAAGGCAAAGAGAACTTAAAAGCAGCAAAAAAGAGAAAGCAGGTGACTTACAAAGGATAGATAATTAAACCATCAACAGACTTCTCAACAGCAATTTGGGCACCAGAGATAGAATCATCAAAATGCCATGCAAAAATAATATCCACCTAGAATTTTGTATCCAAGAAAACTATCTTTCAGGAGTAAAGGGGGAAATAAAGATATTTTCAGATGAACAAAAACAGAGAGTTTACTACCAACAGATAAAAATAGAACTTCTAAAGGACAATTTCCAAGAAGAAAGAAAACTACCAAATGGAAGGTCTCTATTATAGAAGGAAATAATGAACAAAGGAACTAATACAAATATTAGTAGATCTAAACAAATATTGTTGGTATAAAATAATAATAGTGTATAAGTTTTTTAAAAACACAGGAATAAATTATTGAATAACATTAGGCCACAAGGCAGTAGAGACAAGCCCAAATAATGTATGGAAAATAAAGGGGCTAAAAGTAAAGAGAAATATATATCAGACAGATGACTGGAGTAGCTAAAATCATTAAAACAGACACATAGTGCTTAACCATGTGCCAAAAACTATCTAAGTGCTTTACAAATGTTAATACATTTAGTCTTCACAACTCCGTGTGGCAGGTACTATTATCTCAGAGAGTAAGTAGTTTGTTCACAGTCTCAAAAGTTGGTAAAGACTAACCCCCACAGCCATGCAGACTGTTCTTTGCACAAGGGCACCTGGCCAAGAGCACACGTGTGGGCTCAAATAACAGCCTGCAGCCCCTGGGCCAGCTGTGTACTTTGAAGCAGGGTTGAGTCCTGCCCAGAAAAGGGATACCTCTTCCTCATTTACACAGAGGTGCCCTGTGGCTGGGTGGCAGCCTTGCAGAAATGGTGGAGCTGAATTTGAATTCAGGCAGTCTGACCCCTGAGTCTGCTTTTATACACTATTCTATTCTTTTGCCATGCATTAATATCAAACAAAATAGACTTTTCAAAATTTAAAAGGCACTTTAGGGACAGCGAGTTTCACTAGTAAAATATATAAGGGTTTTAGCTCAGTAAGAAGGTATAACAATTTCTATGGTTCCAAAACATAAAAAGCAAAAATTGTTATAGCAAGAAATTTACAAATCTGCTACCATAGTCGGGGATTTCTACATTCCTTTCTTACTTATGGATATTTCTAAGAGATAGAAATTTAAGACAAATTATAGTAATTTGAAAAATGCAATTAATAAGCTATATTCATTGGTCATGTATAAAAACCTGCCTCTAACCATCTGAAAATACATACTCTTCTCAAGCAAAGATGAAACATTTATAATAATTGACTAATAAATATAAAATGTCTCAATAAATTACAAGGATCATTATTAAACAGACATCGCCGGGCACAGAGGCTCACACCTCTAATCCTAGCACTCTGGGAGGCTGAGTGGGAGAGTCACTGGAGCTCAGGAATTGGAAACCAGCCTGAGCAAGAGCAAGACCCCATCTCTATTAAAAATAGAAAAAATTAGCCGGGCGTGGTGGTGCATGCCTATAGTCCCAGCTACTTGGGCGGCTGAGGCAGGAAGATCGCTTGAGCCCAGAAGTTTGAGGTTGCTGTCAACTATAACGATGCCACTGTACTCTAGCCTGGGTGACAAAGCAAGACTGTCTCAAAAAAAAAAAAAAAAGAAACAGACTAGACTTTCTGACCCCAATACAAATTAAAATGGAAGAAATAAAAAAATAAACTAAAAATCCTCATATGTTTGATATTTTTTAAATCACTTCCATGTAACTCCCAAGTCAAAGAATAATAAAGTTAAAAAAAAAACACTAATAACTGATCTACATGAAAGTGCTATATATCAAACCTGTGTGATGGAGGGTCAAGTAGTAAGTAGGAGAAAATATAGAGCCCTAAATATTTATATCAGAAAAGAAGAAAGACTGGTCACTAACAAGCTAAGTGTCCAATTTAAGAATAAGCATGAAAAAGTCAAAGGAGGGAGACATTGATATATAAGCACAGAAATTAATGAAATAGAAAACAGATACAGTGGAGGAGATCAAGGCAAAAGCTGATTTTTTTAAAGAGGATGCATAATAGATACCCTCTGCTGTGACAGGTCAAAAAAACAAAGACAAGGCAACAACTAAATAATATTAGGAAAAAAAGTGAAATAGACATCCATCAGAGATTGATAGTGTGATAACACTAGGAACACGTTATGCCAATGAAAAAATTTCTAAATAGGGGGAAATTACTAAAACAGAGTCAAGAAGAAATAAAAGGTCTGAATAGTCCTGTAACTATTAAACTATGTCAGTAATTAATAACTTTCTATATTAGTTTGCTACGACTGCCATAACAAAGTACCAGAAACTCAGTAGCTTAAAACAGAAATGTATTGCCCCACAGTTCTTGAGGCCAGAAGTCCCACAGCCGGCAGGCAGCAGGGCCGTGCTTTCTCTGCACTCTGGGGGCGCTGGGGAGGCCCCTTCTCACCTCTCCCAGCTTCTGGTAGTCGCCAGCAATCCTTGGCATTCCTTGGCTTGCAGATAGGCGCTCTGGTCACGCAGCCGTCTTCTCCGTGTGTCTTCCTGTCATCTCACCTCTGAGCGTGTCCATGTCTGTGTCTAGATTTCTCCTTCTTACAAGGATATTAGTCATACTGGATGAGGTCTCACCCCTATGACCTCGACTTAACTTGGATAACTCTGCAAAGACTTTATTTCCACATAATGTCACATTCTAAGATATTGGGGTGAGGGGGGTGCATAGAACTTCGACATACCTTTTTAGAGTGACACAATATAACCCATGCCACCTTTCTACAGAATACTGAATCCACATGATTTTATAGGCCAGTTCCACAAAACATTCCAGAAATAGCTCATTCCAAGGTTATAAAACTTTTACATAACTACCCAGATATCTAAGAGGCCAATGTACTGTAATACCAACCTGATGAGGAAGAGTTCAAGAATGGAAAGTTAGGAGTGAAACCTACTCAGGAACTCTGGCCACAAATAGCAACAAGCAGAAGACAATGTATAGTAAGTCATTTTTGTAACCTTTATTAAAAAGAACTAAAGGATGCATTTTTCAGGTCTGGTGCAGTGGCTGGTGGCTCACGCCTATAATCCCAGCACTTTAGGAAGCTGAGACGGAGGATTGCTGAGCCCAGGAGTTCGAGGTTGCAGTAGCTGTGATAGTGCCATTGCACTCCAGAAAAAACATTCTTCAGGGTTACATACATACATTAAAAACTATGAAAAAAAAGATACAAGAAAAGCAATATTAAGGATCGTTGTTGGCCATGTGCAGTGGCTCATCCTTGTAATCCTAGCACTCTGGGAGGCCAAAACGGGAGGATGGGTTGAGGCCAGGAGTTCAAGACCAGCCTGAGCAAGAAAGAGTAAGACCCTGTGTCTATTAAAAATAGAAGAAAAATTAGCCGGGCATGGTGGCATGTGCCTGTAGTCCCAACTACTGAGGAGGCTGAGGCAGGAGGACTGCTCAAGCCCAGGAGTTTGAGGTATGAGCTAGGCTATGAGCTAGGATGACCCCATGGTACTCTAGTCTGGGCGAGAAAATGAGACTCTGCCATAGGAAAAAAAAAAAAAGGTAGAGAAGTATCACTGATTTTTAAACAGACTGTGTTTTCTGACCTCAATATAGTTAAAATAGAAGCAAAAAATAACTCCAAAAGGATAAGCCCAAAATCAAGCCCAAAATGGGGCAGGGGAGAGTAGCAAGCAGAAGTAGCACAAGAGTACACGCAACTTTGTCAGTGCTGTTCTGGATCTTAAGGTAAATGGTGCATTCATAAATGTTCACTGTGCTGTCACCTTTTTTACTTGCATCTATGTTACATATGTTATTTTCTCTTTCTCAAATATCACATAATTTAAAAATATGTTAAATAGATTCTTACAGCCAGGTGTGGTGGCTCACATCTGTAATCCTAGCACTTTGGGAGGCAGAGGTGGGAGGATCACATGAGGCCAGGAGTTCGAGGCTACAGTGAGCTGTGACAATGCCAGTGTCATCAAATCTGACTTACTTCTGTTATGGGTGATTTAGGAAATTTGGGGTCAGATGGTTGTAGGACTTTTCTTTACTTTTAACAATTTAAAAAATATTGCAAGGTATGTCTAGTTGTAAATAAGTGTGTTCTCACCAGTTATTCTAGCAGCTTGATCTGCAAGCATTTTGGCAGTAGCCATGCAATCCAGATAAACAATATGGAGGTATCATACTCATGTTTTGCCAAAGGCTTGAGGAAACGAGAACAGCCCTTTCCCTTCCTAAACGGGCCTGAATGCATACATTTTTCATTCTCGAGGAGGAATGATACGTTTCTAGTGAGGATATTCAAATTAACTACCAATAACAATTCCTTTTTGCCCTCTCTCTCGGTCCCCGAGAAGCCCATCTCCTACGCTGGAAGAAGTCAGTGCCTGGGCTCAGTCATTCGACAAATTGATGATCACCCCCGCGGGAAGAAACACTTTCCGAGAATTCCTACGAACAGAATTCAGCGAAGAAAATATGCTTTTCTGGATGGCCTGTGAAGAACTGAAAAAAGAAGCTAATAAAACCATTATCGAAGAGAAAGCAAGGATAATATATGACGACTACATTTCCATTCTTTCTCCTAAAGAGGTATGTGACCACGAAAGGCTGTCTTCCAGGAGGCCGTGGGCAGAGCTGACACCTTCCGTGCTCGGCCGTGTTCACCGTGCACAGTAGCGGCCACGCTAAGATGTAGAAAACAGCTCTGTCCACACTCACAGTGTCGAATCCCCTTGACGGTGGGCCCGCTGATGGGCTCCAAGTGCCCCCTGAAATCTGTGAAAAATGTTGTGCATTTTTCTGGAAAAAGTATCCGTAACTTTCATCAGATTCTCCTGGAGGGGGAGTCTATGCATTTTACTATTAACACTGTTTATAAATATTATACCTCGTAGCCTGTCCTTGGAATAAAATTATCCTGTCATGCTGAGCAAAATCTTTTTTACAGGTATCTTTATCTTCTAGAGTGTAACAGCGTCACTGGTACCATGCTGAGGCTGCAGAGGTTTTCCCCACAGTGTCCTTTTGTTGTATCAGAGAAATTACCAGATGAGTGAAATTGGGCAAGTTTCCACCTCTCAGAGTGGCTTTTTTGTTGTTGTTGTTTTGGACACAGCGTCTTGCTCTGTCGCCCAGGCTGGAATGCAGTAGCCCAGTCGTAGCTCACTGTAGCCTCGAACTCCTGGGCTCAAAGCCATCCTCCCAGCCACCTCAGCCTCCTGAGTAGCTGGGACTACAGGCAGGCACCACTACGCCTGGCTAATTGTTTCTTATTTTTTATAGAGGCTGAGGTCTCACTATGTTGCCCAGGCTGGTCTCAAACTCTTGGCTTCAAGTGATCCTCCTGCCTCAGCCTCCCAAAGTACTGGGGTTACAGGCTTGAGCCACCATGCCTGGCCTCTCAGAGGTTTTAGTTTCTTCAAATCTAAAGTTTAGGAGGTTAGATTATTCTTACAATTAAGTGCTTTGTAACTCTAATTACACAATCATTCGTTACTTCCTGCTGTGTGCTGGTGTACTTGTAAGGCTGACGAGGCAGGGCCTCTCCTGTCAGGCAGCTCCCAGAGAAGTGGGCAGACAGACAGGGACATCTGGGGACACTGCTCGGTGCTCACAGAGGCCCGTGGGGTGGGGCAGGAGTGCGGTGGAGACGCTCAGAGAGGCCGAGGATGGACGGAGGATAATGAAAAGCACGTGACCAGAAACACAGCGGGATGAGGACGTCCCAGGGGACAGGACAGGACGATGGCAGGAGGAAAGCGTGAACCCGTCCAATAGGGTGCAAGGAGTCCAGTGCAGGGAGTGCAGGACACGCACCGTGCTGTGAGGGCTGGTGGCAGGCGCCGGAGCAGATTTAGGAACTGTGGTCCCAGAGCATGCAGACGCTGGGTGCCATGCTGAGGAGTTGGGATTTTTATCCTGGGAAAGCACTCGGATTTTAGCCTGCTGTAACAGTATCATGGAATTTGGGTTCTGGGTGATCAGCATGGCTGCAGGATGGAGAGGGAGCTGACAAGGGGCAGAAGATATTAGAGGACTAATTCAGGAGCCCAAACCAGACATGAGACAGGAAAGGTTTGGTTTCAGGCAAACCCCAGAGTCTCAAATGACTCCCACGTGTCCTGCTCGGGCAGACCAAATGGGAGGACAGTTGACTTAAGTTTGTGTTGGTGAGTTGGAGATACTCAGTTGACATGTTCGAATACTGAATTCAGAAAGTTATTTTCATTCTGGATTCATAAGCAAAGAATTTTGGTCCTTTAATTTATGGCTTCCACTTATTTTTATTTTGTCATAATTTTCCTTTTTTTTTTTTTTTGAGATAGGGTCTTGCTATGTTGGATTTTTCTTTTTTTAAGGCAAGATTTTTCATCAGTGTCTTTTAAAGCATTAATACACCCAAAAAAGTCTTAGCAAATTTATAAAAAAAAATGATATAAGATGACCCCTTTCCTTCCAAACTGAAACATTTATTATTTGAAATGTAAAAGCTTGAAAAAGTTTGAGAGCATAGCCCTGGGGCCAGCATAGGTCTGAACCTCCGTCCTCACTGGTCAGCTGCGCAGCCCGGGGGTATTTCTGACCCTCTCCGCACCTGCTCCCTCCTGTGGACCAAGGGGACATTGCCCTGTAGATTGGGGGATGGGGTAGAAGAAAGGTTATTCTAGACCAGCGAACAAGGACAAGATAGTTCTAGCTCCTTCCTTCTTTAATTCCAAGTGGTTCAGAGCAGCTCTGCTGTGGAGGAGGGTGGAGCTGGGAATCCATACCAGCAGACCTGAAACGGCCTCAGAGGCTCAGACTGTGGCCTTGATCCTGAGAGCAACCGCAAGCAAGTGCAGGCTGCGGAGCTGGGGTGGCAGGGTGGGGCTGCACTCTAGGCGTGGAGCAGGGCTTGGAGGGCGCTAGCCCGACGCCAGGAGACCAGTTAAGAGGCCGCTGCACAGATCCAGCGGGAGATGGTGAGTGACTGCCACAAGGGTCGTGGCGGAGAGGAGGGAAGAGGTGGGCAGATTCCAGAGTGTTAAAGAGGTAGGGTCCACAGGATCTCCTGACTGAAAATGGAGCCAGAGGGCAAGTTCAGGATAAGCAGGACTGGGAACTGCATGACGCAGGTAGTTTTATTTTTTCATGAGCTATGCAAGAAAGAGGCCTGGCAATGCTGGGAGTCTGTCTGAATGCGTTGCTTTGAGATACCACCTGTGGGCAGGAAGGACAGGAGGAAGGTGGATACACGCATCTGGACAGATAGACCGCTGAAGTCAATATTTAAGTTAACAGTTTAGCCGATTGCATTTTCAGTTTTATGTTAATGGCATATGCATCGAGTGGCAGTAGAACTACCATGGCCAACAGGTGCAGAAATGGCCCAGCTAAGGTTCCTTATACAGAAGAGATGTGTGAGGCAATCTTTGCAGCTTCCACCTGGACTCCTGTTTGGCTGGTGTCCTACAGGAAAAGTCTGAGCCCAGTAGTTTGCTCAGGTCTGTGAGACAGTCTTATCTCGGATGAGCAAAACATCAGAGCAGTAATAGCTGACATCTCCCTAAGGACTTAGTGGATGCCCAGTACCATAAGCAAATTCTCATTAAATCACCAAGATCTAGAAACTACCATGACCATCATCGTGGTGCCCACTTCAGGGGAGGAGTCCACTGGGACACAGAGTTTACCTTGCCCAAGGCCGCACAAATGAGCAGCGACAGAACTGGGATTTAAACACAGCCATCTTCACACCTGTAATCCTAGCACTCTGGGAGGCCAAGGCAAGCAGATTGCTCGAGGTCAGGAGTTCGAAACCAGCCTGAGTAAGAGCAAGACCCGTCTCTACTATAAATAGAAAGAAATTAATTGGCCAACTAATATATATAGAAAAAATGAGTCGGGCATGGTGGTGCATGCCTGTAGTCCCAGCTACTCGGGAGGCTGAGGCAGCAGGATTGCCTGAGCCCAGAAGTTTGAGGTTGCTGTGAGCTAGGCTGACACCACGGCACTCACTCTAGCCTGGGCAACAAAGTGAGACTCTGTCTCAAAAAGTAAATAAATAAAAAATAAAATAAACACAACCATCTTCTGCCATCGTCTGCCCTCAGCCCCACGATTCGAACCTTCCAGAGCGCTCGAGTCAGCTCCGCTCCACCCGTGCCCAACCCTACCAGTCGGCCTGGCACTCATTCCCAGAAACCTGCCACTGTGTTCTGGCGGGCAGAAGCCTGGCCTCCAGGTTTTAGACCTCCTGTTACTAGTGAGAAGCAAGGAATAAGTCAGCAAATGCTACCTTTTTTCTTCAAAAGGCATAGCGTGCCCATTTTACAGAAGCAAAACAATGTCAGGGTTTTCTAAATCAGTGTGATCTCCGCCAGCATTTCTTGGAACTCGTGAAAAATGCCAATGTGGGGCCCCTCCCAAGCCCCACCCGCCCGTCCGGGGTGGGGCCCGCGGTCTGTTTAACCACTGAGGCCCTGGCGTTTCAGGATCCCTGTTCATTATGCTTTTAGCTTCTCTTTCGAGAGTTTAGGTGTTTGGATGGTCTTGTTCCGCTTGAGATTTTTAAAAAATGAAACAAGCTGAGGGAGTTTGGGACGGATTTACCAATCGCGTCTGTTCCCACCGGCAGGTCAGCTTGGACTCCCGCGTGCGCGAAGTCATCAACAAGAACATGGTGGAGCCGTCCCAGCACATATTCGACGACGCGCAGCTTCAGATTTACACGCTGATGCACAGAGACTCCTACCCCCGCTTCATGAACTCTGCCCTCTATAAGGACTTGCTTCGGTCCTTATCCGAGAAATCAGCTGAAGCGTAGGATTTTTCAAATATATTTATTATTAATAAAATAACAAAAGAATTCATGGACTACATCTAGCACAGGGAGTTTAGAGATAGTACTGCCTTCTGCTGGAGTAATACCTGGGCTATTTTAATATCAGACGCTTCCTTCAACAGACAGCTATATAGTCAGAGTGTAAACTGCAGCCACCTTTAGTGACACTTTGGAGGGGAAGGGAAATGGCTGTTGTAGAGAGATAGTGTATTTACAGCTGCAGTAACAGTAGCCCGCTGTCCACGACAAAGGATACGCTAGAAGACTCCACACTACAGCCCCAGCGAGCGAACGGGACCTTGGTTTTGCATGAGTTCAGTAATTGATTACTCCCCACCCTCCAAACTAAGACTTGCAGGTGTTTCTCAGCCACTTCCCTCCATCAGGCTCGGTTTGAATACTTATTAGTGCCATTACAGGACTCAAATTCACATTTTATAAAGATGTGACCATTACTTGTAAAAATGGAATTCCACTTTATCTTAGAGTATGTATGTATGTAGTACACGTGTGTGTGGGGGGATCTCTACATGGTTAATGTAAATCACTGTGTGTGTAAGCGGATCAGTCTCAAAGGTTTGGTAAGAGAAACAGTGCTTAGAAAATTCTCTTGTTGAACAGTTACCATTATTTTATTATCAGAATTCGTCGCCTTAGAAGGATGAACTTTTAAGTTCACAACTTGGTCGTGTTCACAACAAAACTTTCAAATAAGCGTATTTCCACTTTTATCATTGAAAGAAATATGGGCATTTTCACTCTTAAAAAAATAAAGCACAAGAGTTTTACCTCAATCTTCATTTTTCTAATATGTAAGTATTTACGAAATGGAAGATTAAGTGGGGATTCATGAAGCATAGCAATTGGCTCCTAGATTAGGATTCTGTCTTTAGATGCCACTATTTTTATAATAGGTAAATGGAATAATTTCATAGCTTACAGTACATACCTACTGGCAGACCCAAACTATCCTGAAGAAACCCATCTCTGCAATGAATGGAAAAGACAGTTGCAATCTGCAATCCATTTTAGCGACTGCAGGTTACTTTGTAGGAGGCCAGTGCCAAGCTCCAGCCCTCACGTGGGTGGCTGCCCTCTTGGTCATCTCCTACCTGGCCCCTCGACGGGCTGCCTGTATCTTCATGATTCGACTCAAGCCCCAAACCTAAGCCCCTCTCCCTCATTCTCAGTAACCAGCTTATCTACTGAAAATGTGTCCCTTCTTTACTACTGAAAATGTGTCCCTCGACCCTGTCAACTTCCTGTGTAACCTATAAATATCCATAGATCAGCGTCTATTCTCCCCGCCTTCAGTTCAGTCCCAGAGAAGGATGTGTTCTTTACTCCCTTTCAGGGTATGAGTCCCTCACGAGTGCTATTGTATTCTTATCTTCCAATCTCATTTTTCACTAAACAAAGAGGACATATAGCCAGGCATGGTGGCACATGCCTATAGTCCCAGCTACTCGGGAGGCTGAGGCAGGAGGATTGCTTGAGCCCAGGAGTTTGAGGTTGCTGTGAGCTAGGCTGACGCCATGGCACTCACTCTAGCCCGGGCAACAAAAGTGAGACTCTGTCTCAAAAAAAACAAACGAAAAACAAAGAGGATATAATTGCAATGAAGACATAAGCCCTGTCTCCGAGCAGTTCACAGTCAAGCAGGCAGAGTGTCGGTGGCAACTGTGACCTGGCATAGCAGGCGCTGTGGCAGGGGAGAGCAGAGCTCTGGGAATCCTGCGGGTTATGGAAAGATTTGGGCACCGAATCCGAAACCACAGAACAAGAATGTATGTGTAGGCGCAGGGAGGGCCCTGGAAGGGGAGGCATTCGTAACTGAAGCCATGCCAAATAGTCCGATCATGACACGCCGAGTGTGAGGCAACCGCAAGACACATGTGTAAACAGAGGTGTCGGGAACTCAGGTGGCTGCAGGGACCCAGGGGACTGGAAGTCTAGGCTGGAGGACTGGCTTGGGATTTTTCAGCACAGATGAATGCGATTGCCTGGAGAGTTACAACGCGGAAAAACAGCTGAGGATAAGTCCTCGCAAGGGTGCACAAACAAGATTGAGGAGGATTCACCTCCCCAATGCAGATAAGAAAGTCCGGGAGCGTGGGGACATGGCGGCAAGTAAGTAGGCGTGCTTCAGAGGGCGGCCAGCGGCGATGAACCGAACATGCTTGCCCAGATTGTCCCCTCCCTCCCGTCGGCTTTCCCGGGCTTTTCACCACACCCCAGGCTTGGACCTCCCTGTTGAAAACAAACCTGCATCCACTGACGCCCCAAGGTTCGGGCTTCGGCTTGTTTTTCACACCAGTCTCTAAGCTCTCCCATGGTCTTCACATCGCCCTCACTGTTTAGAACGCCTACCAGTCAGCGATGTGAATTAGTATAGCCACGATGAAGAACAGCATGGAGTTCCTCAGAAAACTAAAAGTAGAACTCCCGTGTGGTCCAGCAGTATATCCAAAAGAAAAGAAATCAGTATGTCAGAGAGGCGCCCGAACGCCCATGTTTACTGCAGCGCTGTTCCCAACAGCCACCGCTGGGAACCAGCCTCAGTGTCCCTCAACAGATACTTATCTGTTGAAAATGTAGTAACACATACACAATGGAATATTATTCAGCCATAAAAAGAATGAAATCCTGTCATTCTCGACAACATGGATGGAACTGGAGAACATCATGTTAAGTGAAATAAGCCAGGCACAGAAAGACAAATGTCACATACTCTCACCCCTATGTGAGAGCTACACATTAACACAACTGACCTCATGGAGACAGAACAGAGTGACGGTCCCCAGAAGAAGGGAAAGGTAGTAGGGAGGGGGATAGAGTAGGGATGGTTAACAGGTGCAAAAATACAGTTAGAATGGGCAAGATCTAATATTGGATAGCACAACAGGGTAACTGTAGTCATCACTAAGTTACTGTATATTTTTAAAATAATCAAAATAATGGAACTGGAGTGTTCCTAACAAAAAGAAATGATAAATGCTTGAGGTGGTGGATACTCCAATTACCCTGATTTCATTATTACATTGTATCAAAACATTTCACATGTACCCTACAAATATTATTTTAATTTTTATTCTCTTTTTTTTTTGTTTTTCTTGGAGCTGACCTTGATCAATGTGCCTATAATTTCTTTAAAATCAAAAATATATACACATCAAACACTGCAAAATATATATAAATGTATTTTTTAAATTAAGGCTTATACAAATTTGACTTCATGAACAAATGACACATCATCAGTAATCACCATAAGGCTTTATTGATCCCAAAGTATTTGGTGCCCAAAATAAGTCATTGTATCAATTAAAAAATAAAGATAAATAAAATACCTACCAATATACTGATGGTTACTGAATTGGGATCTAGTCTGGACTTTCTCCTGAACTTGAGAACCAGCTGCCAGCTCCAGGGCGTGTCCCGCAGATGAGCGGAAACTCCAAATCCTGACTCTGACTCATCACCCACTGCTCCCCTGCCCCAGCCTGGCCCGCCTACATCCTGTGACCCAGCCAGTCACCCAAGCGCTTATCTGGGAGCTAACTTCCACTCTGCCCTCTTCCTCCCCTCAAACATGATCACCCAGCCTTGCCAGTGTTGCCTCCTAAATATTTCTCGTGTGTCTCTTCTTTCCTTCTTCTGGCCCCATCGTCATTCTGCCACTCCTTAATGTCTTTTAGTAGTTACCAATTGCCTGAAGCACAAATACCAAGTTCTTGGCCCTGCAAATAAACAAGGGCCTCTGTCCTCAGGCTACTATCTCCCTGGCCAGACCTGCTTTCGATTTATTTATTTATTTATTTATTTATTTATTTATTTATTTATTTTTATAGAAGCTTTTAAAAATAAATCAATGTATTCCAATGTTGTGACATGACAGCCCAATGCTACATATCAAGGAAGCAAAAGTGAAGATTCCTGGTATTTTTATATAAACCCTATGAAAACGCTTGCATTCAACTTCTCAAGAAATTATCTTCAGGTCCATGAAGATTCTTTGGCAGCTGTAAGACCTTTCAAACAGCACACAGGTATGGCTATTGAACAAGTAGACATGGAAAGTCTAATAATTGAGCTCACTCTAAAACCATACTGAAGCGAAGGGAATACAATGGCCAGCTTGCTGAACAAAAAAATCCATGTCTTTTAGTCATTTAACAAAAATACAGCATATATCAAAATTAGAGTACAGAAACGGAGCCATAAGGAGAAACACAAATTAAAAGCCTGACGCAGTGAATCTGTTCCTACCGCACTGAGACGGACGAAGCCATGGATACGGAGTCCTGCGGCTGCCTGTGTGCTGAACCTCCTCGTGCGCACAGTGCTACCTACTGACTGGAACCAGAGCTCCTTGCTGTACAAATGTCGCTGGGGGCACTTGCTCCACTGCTGTGGGTCAGAGCAGTAGCTGGCTGGAGTGCGGGCATGGAGGGGGCTCTCTGAGACCGTATACCACTGCCCTCTACAATCCCACAGGGCACACTTCCCAAAGCTGATGTTCCCTTGGAAGGGTTAAAAGAAAAAATAAAAAACCCAAGGTATTGAAAACAAACAGTGGAAACCTGAAGCTCTGACCCTCTAACACTGTATTATTGTCCACACCACCATGAGAGATGTTTCACTTGGTTACAACAAATAGACTCTGTCCTATCACATGGATGACATCCTATATTTTTGACATAGGATTTTTCTCTACAGAAATCAGGTTGAGAAGATTCTTTCCTTCAGGCCTGGGCATGGTGGCTCACGCCTGTACTCCTAGCACTCTGGGAGTTTGAGGCGGGAGGACTGCTTGAGCTCAGGAGTTCAAGACCAGCCTGAGCAAGAGCGAGACCCCGTCTCTACTAAAAATAGTGAGAATCAGCAGGACATGATGGCACACGCCTGTAGTCCCAGCTACTTGGGAGGCTGAAGCAGAAGGATCCCTTGAGCCCAGGAGTTTGAGGTTTCTGTGAGCTAGTCTGGCCACCACACTCTAGCCCAGTTGACAGAGTGAGACTCTGTCTCAAAAACACATCAGAACAAAAAATAAGATTCTTTCCTCCAAAGTAAAAGCTGGTTAAATGCTAGTTATGTAAACATATTTAAATTTTTAACTGTAGGGAAGGACCTGACTTGAATGGGATTTTCTTTTTCTTTTTTTGAGACAGAGCCACTTTGTTGCCCAGGCTAGAGTGAGTGCCGTGGCATCAGCCTAGCTCACAGCAACCTCAAACTCCTGGGCTCAAGCAACTCCTGCTGCCTCAGCCTCCCGAGTAGCTGGGACTACAGGCATGCGCCACCATGCCCGGCTAATTTTTTCTATATTGTTAGAGGCAAGGACCCTCAAAGACCCTCAACTCCCCTATGACTCGTCCTACGCACGGACTTCGCCCTGGAAAATTCCAGCTATAGCTCCGAGAAGAATGCAGTCCATGACGTGCTGACCACGGATGCTCCAGGGAGTGCTGACTGCAATTGTCCTGACCACCTGCCAGGTTGGAGATGAGTAACCAGTCAAAAACAGGATACTGATAAGACGCTGATTGGGGCTGATTAACCCAGACCCAAGCCTCATCGTCGCCACTCTATTTTTTTGTTTCTACTTCCTTGTTTCTGTATGCTTATAAAACCTACTAAGAATCTAAGTAAAGCAGACCTTGACAACCATTTGCTTGGTCTCGTTTCTTCTCTTGCTCATCTCTTTCAGGCACGGTCCCCCTCTCCCCTGCGAGTAACAGAAGGTCCCGCGGGCCGGGACACTATATATATTACTTGGCCAATTAATTTCTTTCTA